CTAAAATACATAGAATTTCATCAATGACTTCCACAAAGAACAACATTTCTGTTTTTTCTAAGTCCGTATCTCTTCCGTATATTTCATAAGATATAAGCTTGGGCTACATTGTTATGCAACGTGATTTTGTCGCTGTCTTGCTAGCAGGGTTGACAGATATACGATTTAAATCGTACTCATACTATTATTTGTCTATTTTTTAATGTACGATCGTAAAGATTATGATCGTAATTCGCACAAAAACATACGACTTTTTGGTTACCTGGCAACATTTTTATTATGAAACGAACATGCTCACATCATCAGTCACATGCAACAATTTATTGGGGATTTCCCCTTCACATCTGGCAGTCCTGCTTGCTAGAATATAGGTAAGTCAGCCACAGTTACTGACGATCGATATTTAAAGGGTATTGTTTTTGTGCTAAATATTTCATAAAAACGTTATTTAATACTTTGTGGATTATTAATTTAGTTGATAATCACTGGAAGTAAAATGGATGCTAATTTGAGAGATCAAGATCTTCGTATAAAACAGTTAATAAAAGAAAATCTACGTAAGTACTCTTTTTATACCTAGGTAGGTAAGGTATAATAAACACAAAAGGTACTTAGATCGCGTGTGTTCGAAGCATTTATTCTAATAAATTTAATTTAAAATTGTAGAAAGAAAAAAATGTCTGCCAAGCCGTAGCCGAAGCCGATCTCCAAATATATTTGGCGATAGTGAGACCCAGTGTCCAGATGATTTACCCAGCGTCGTCGCAACAAAGAAAAAAAACGAGGATAAAGTAAAAGAAAATTTACTGAAAGAAGAAACAAACTGTTCTAAATGCTTAATTTATGGAGAAGAGGATAAAAGAAATGAGTATTTCGGACTGTTAGTAGCTCAAGAATTTAAATATATACGGCCATGTGTGCGAACGAGGTGTTATGAAGAAATTTTAAAGTATCTACGGGAAGCAAAAGGCCAACATGTTGATCAACTGCAACATGAAAACACTGAAAATTAATTACTTTCATTTTATTATATATAGATTTTTAAAATTTCCTGAAATACTATTAGTTAACGTTTTATTTAATATTGTAGAATTGATCAATACAATTTATAAAAATAATTTATTGGTATTACTTACATATTTTCAAAAAAATACGTAAAAACCTATTTTTTTGGGTGATTATGGGAGTTTATGGGTGTTTATTGGGTTTTTACCAAAGCACCGGGTTTAAACCCGGTGCTTTGCCCATCTGTACCAGTGATAGATAACTGATGGGATGAAAGTACAGGGTGGCCCAAAAGTCCTTAGAAAAGTAAAATTTGAATTAAACGAAAACGGCTCGCGTGAGCGGTGCAGGGGAAGCGGGGGCAGTAACTTCGGTTTCTGGGAATTTAGTCGCGATGGAGCGTTTCACCGGAGCGGACCGTGCGTTTTGTGTGCGCGAGTTTTATCAAAACAACAATTCGGCAACCGTTGCGAGGCTTAAATTTCGAGAACACAAAGGTTTACACAACTTTGATGACACCCCAGCTCTCCAAACGATTAAGAATTGGGTTGCTAAGTTCGAGGAGACCGGTTCGACGTTAGATAAACCGCGGTTGGGTCGCCCAAGGACATCACGTACGGAACAAAACATCGACACAGTGGCACAATCTATTCGTGAAAATCCTACACAGTCAACTCGTAAGCGTTCCAGTGCATTAAACGTATCCAGGACATCGTTACAACGGATTTTGAAGAAAGATTTACTTATGCACCCTTACAAAATTCAGTTGGTGCAAGAATTAAAAGAAACTGATGCTATTCAGAGAGTGAATTATGCTAATGAAATGTTTAATCGGTTTACTTCGTTCAATAACCTAATGTTCTCTGATGAGGCACACTTCCACATTAACGGACATGTTAGTAAACAAAATTGCCGCTATTGGAGCCCGATTAATCCAAAACTTAAGCACCAGAAGCCCTTACATAGCCCTAAAGTTACAGTTTGGGCCGCTATGTCAGTCCATGGCATCATAGGGCCTTACTTTTTTGAGGACGGCAGAGGGCGTGCTGTTACTGTTACTTCGGAGCGATATGTGGCCATGATCGAGGAGTTTTTCACACAAAAATTGCAAAACTTTCCAGGCTTTAATGCCCGAACATGGTTTCAACAGGATGGAGCAACTTCCTACACCTCCAATACTGCTATGCCCGTTATCCGTCAACTTTTTCCAAACAAAGTTATCTCTAAGAGAGGAGACATTTCCTGGCCACCACGTAGCCCGGATCTGACTCCAATAGATTTTTTTTGTGGGGCTACCTTAAGGCTAAAGTGTACGACTCTAACCCGCGGTCAATTAATGACCTAAAAGAAAACATCCGCAGAGAAATGGCAAGCATTTCAGCAGTGACGTGCCGCGCAGTCATCGACAATTTCAGAAGGCGTTTGCAAGAGTGCCGTGACTGTAACGGATTACATTTGGACGACGTTATTTACAAAAAATAATTCCCGTTTTTCTAGCTATATTTACAAATAAAAATATTATTCATAGTGTAATTAGTTTTATTTTAATTAATTTTTTTCATTACTAAGGACTTATGGGCCACCCTGTAGATCAATTAACCCATCCTCACGAATTCTACTAGAAATAGCCACGATGGTTTCCAGGGGGAACCATGTAGAGGTCGACTTGACAGGGTATATTGCTAGTAATGGGGCTATTTGACCCCATTATTATCAATCCCTTTCCCCCCAACAACTGCAGTTAGGCTTTTAGATATGTTTTAAGAGGGACGTTGCGGCCCATCCCTCGCCTTCCCTTAATCAACTCTTGCGACAGCCACGGAAAAGAAAGGGGTGGCCTATTCTATGCCGAGACCACACGCAATAGAAACGTGTATTATTAGTTATTTCTCTCGGTTTTGCTCGCATATATCAGTTTATAATGTTTCCTATATACTAAATTAGAATATAGTCAGTCAGACATTAAACACTCAAACATTAGACAGTCAGACACTAGCCATTCAGACATATAGTTTCTAGACACTCAGATATTCAGACACTAGACACTCAGACACACAGTCTCTAGACACTCAGACACTAGACACACAGTCTCTAGACACTCAGTCACTAGACACACTGACACGAGACACTTAGACACTACACACCCAGATACTCGGACACTTAGACAATCAGACAATAGACACTCAGATATCATACACTCAGACACAAACACTAGACACTCATACATAAGACCCACAGATACGAGACACTCAGACACTAGACACACTGAAACTAGACAGTCAGACGCTAGACACTCAGATACTCGGACACCTAGACAATCAGACAGTGGACATTCACACACTAGACACTCAGACATCAGATATTTAGACACTTGACACTCAGACACTAGACACTTAGACACACTGACACTAGACACTCAGACACTAGACTCTCAGACACTCGGACACTCAGACACTTGGACTGTCTGTGAAGTGTCTGAGTGTCCGAATGTCAGTGTGTCGAAGTGTCTGAGTGTCAGAGTGTCCGAGTGTCTAAGTGTCCGAGTGTCTGAGTGTCCAAGTGTCCAAGTGTCCAAGTGTCTGAGTATCTGAGTGTCAGAGTGCCTGAGTGTCCAAATGTCTGAGGGTCAGAGTATCTGAGTGTCTGAGTGTCCGAGTGTCTGAGTGTTCAAGTGTCTGAGTGTCCGAGTGTCCGAGTGTCAGAGTGTCAGAGTGTCTGAGTGTCCGAGTGTCCGAGTGTCCGAATGTCAGAGTCTCAGAGTGTCTAAGTGTCTGAGTGTCTGAGTGTCTGAGTGTCCGAGTGTCCGAGTGTCAGAGTGTCAGAGTGTCAGAGTGTCAGTGTCTGAGTGTCTAAGTGTCAGAGTGTCAGAGTGTCTGAGTGTCAGAGTGTATGAGTGTCCGATTGTCCGAGTGTCCGAGTGTCTAAGTGTCTGAGTATCTGAGTGTCTAGTGTCTGAGTGTCTGAGTGTCAGAGTGTCTGAGTGTCTGAGCGTCTGAGTGTCCGAGTGTCTGAGTGTCTGAGTGTCTGAGTGTCTGAGTGTCTGAGTGTCTGAGTGTCTGAGTGTATGAGTGCCTGAGTGTCTGAGTGTCTGAGTGTCTGAGCGTCTGAGTGTCTGAGGGTCCGAGTGTCTGAGTGTCCAAGTGTCTGAGTGCCTGAGTGTCTGAGTGTCATGATTTGCATTCTAATGTTTCAAAACGTTCCCCTGAAAAATTGCACTTTTTCAATTTCGTAAGTTTACAATAAAGGTGACGATATGACTCATATTCACAACTCTCTCTCTCTCTCTCTATTTTTATTTATTTATTTTTTTTATTTATGTTTGTTACCTCATAACTCCGTCAGTTCTAAACTGATTTGGAAAATTCTTTTTCTATCAGTAAGGATATACTTACAGATTGATCCCATAGAAATTTTATCAAAATCAGTTCAGTGGTTTAGTCTTTACATCAAAATAACCGATGAAGTCGGTATTTTTGTGGTACACAAACATTGTGGTAAAAAAAGTGTGTTAACACTTTGCACTACATTAACAACAGGCGTTCACGTGTATGAGATAAATAAATGAATTTTTAATAATATTTTTATTTACAAAATATCACTCTGATTATTAATAAATCAACAATATTTATTTATTTATTTATTTAGTGAGGTAACAAAAATTCTATTTTAATTCCATATGTCTCATGGAACTAGTGGGTCTGCCCAGATTTTCATTTTGACCTATCTAGTAACCTAATCATAGGGGAAAAGGGATTGTCAGCAATGGAGTTTAACAGCCCCATTGCTAGCATCAGTTAACTGGCCTGCTTCATCCTCACCTATCATCCTCCACTGGTGCCCCGCTGGTGTATACCGATAGCGCGGGTGGGGTTTCTATTTCATTATCACTCATAAAAAAATAACCTAATAATGAGGTCTCGCATGTTTCTGGTTTTAACGTCTTTCTATTAGACGACGCAAGTCTGAGCATATTGTCAAATAAAAAATCATTTTTTGTTTTTAATTACTGTCATTTATTAAGTTTTATTGCAATTTAATTTTATAATACGTTAATGTTTATGTGCACAATTATTATTTAATTATTTAGCAGGTATATCACAATTTCCATGTCGCCATTCGCAGATTTTCGTCCAGGACAAACTTCTTTTCAATGTTTCCTAGCGGTCCTGAAATATAATAAATTTACATGAAAATTGTACAACAACTTCACTTACAAGTCAACAGTGGTACAGTATTGTAATAAGTAAGAATACAATATCATATAATTATAGATAAGTATAAAAAAAACAAGAGGCCTAAAAGCTTAGTGGTCAGTAATGGCAACGCATGAAAGGTATCATGGGCGACACAGTATAATCTGTCATGTTCATAGTACTGTTCATGTCTATAGGCGACAGTTATAATTTTTCATAAAGTGAGAGGTCAGCTTGTTTGCTATTTCAAGTTGCAAAAAAAACTATGCTAAATTTCTAAAAGGGCGTAATTAATTTAAAAATAAATTTTGAGGAGGCAGTGAAAATAGAACGCATTCAACGTTGGAGGAAATCGAATGATGGCGGAAAGGAATTGTTAGTAATGGGGTTTAAAAGCCCCGTTTTTAGCATAATAGCCTGTCAAGTTTTCCCTGCAAACCATAGTGTTGAATTCTTCGCATTGGGCTAACTGATCTGTTTTCATCTTCACCTGTCATCACTCACTGGTGCCCAGCTAGGGTACACTGATAGCGTAACGGAGTATTCAAGATTCAAAATTTATTTATTTGTAAAACATGCGTATAAATACATGCAGATGTTGACAATATAATATCGTTCGGCATGTTTAGCCTGTACGGCATACAAACATATGTAGTTACACAGATAGTTCACAAGTCAAGTCCATTTTATACCATTAATCGTCATCACATTCCAATTTTAAATACATTTATATAAATAATAATTGTCAGGCAAGTATCATACCATTTACACCCTTAAAGGGTGAGAATGGAATGGTAAAGAAAATAGCCAATGATAATTATTATCAAATGTGCCAAATTGCTAAAAAATTTACAACAGTTAGAGATATTTTCTGTTTGAAAAAAAAAAGAACTAAAATGATCTCCTTTCATACTTGCCAAGCTCCAAAATAATTCTTTATATACTTTTAGATATAAATTTAAATTGAAATTAAATGCCGTGTTTTCGAACTCAATTTCGTGTTTTCGTTCATACCGAAATCAGTCCAGTAAATGGAGCTGAACATTTCGTTTGTTATAAATGCTACAAAACAAACAAAAGTTCAAAGGAACAATATTTAAAACCTTTAAACAGTATTATGTACTTTTAACATTAAATTTGTGTTTCTTTTTAGGCCTCGAAATTTGGGAAAACACTTCATGGTAGGCCTTCTGGTTATTATAATAATTTTTACCTAAATTTTGGTGAAAAACGTCTCCTTCTTGTTTCGTTGCTCTCAATTTGATTTGCTGATTGTCTGTCCTGTAAAAATTAAAGTAAAACTTGATATAAACTACATAGCAAATTCTTACATGTACCTAGTTCCTTTTACTAAATTACGATTAAACAATTAAATTATATATGTGAAAAAATGTTCGAACTTTTAGAGATGTTTTAAGAGAGACGCTGCTGGCCTTACATAAACAATACATAATATCAATTCAATACCTATTGTGTATATCAACTTTGAACTAACCTCTACTGCTGCAGACAGGGGAACGATATCTTCTTTCGGTGGGCCATACTCCCTGAAACCAGGCGGTCCGTACTCTAAAAATCCTTCAGGAGCCTGAGCCAAGGAACTGAAACAAGGAAAGTTTAAATTTAATTACATACGTTTGTTATGACAATTACAATGCTAAACAAGCTGACGGCCCATCTGATGGAAAGTGATAACCATCGCCTATAGATATAAGCAGCACCATGGACATTACAGAATACATAGGACATGCGTTTCCATTTCTTAGGATAATTTTACTGTCACCCTTTAAACCGAAACTGCTGCTTCACGACAAAAATATAAGTGGAACAGAGGTACCCATAAATATGACTTTTATACATAGCCTCCCTTCGGTAAAATATATTAAAAAAATTATTTCCGTTCAATAAAAATGATATTAACCCACAACTTACCCAGAGTTATCTACCACATTCCTCACGCCAACTGCATCTTGGGCACTTTGCTGAAATAATGTAAAAAGTATTACATTATTAATTACATGAATAATTGTTATGTTAAATTTAACACTCATTACGGTCTGTGGTCATTCATTTTCGCTGAAACAGCTGTCACTAACTCTCAAAGTCTCTCTTTGTTTCATATTTTTATTATCAATACAGTAATAACATCGTATAAGTAAAAGTGACAAAAAATTATTCTCATGTAAATAAATATATTGAATTACCCTTTGCAGTGATTCTTCATTTTTAATATTAATAATAGCTTCTTCTATATTCTTCACTCCTTCAACAACAGTCTTAACTTCTTGTTCTATTCTTCCTTCTACAGCACCAATTACTCCACGGCTAACGACTCCTGTCTCTTGTATAACTACACCACGTTCTGTAGCATCAACTCCTGTTTGGACTGCATCTTCAGTGTTTGCAATGGAAGTCTCGATTTCAATATTAACAGATTTTCCTTGAATCTCTGGTTGTGCATTAACATTTACAGATGCTTCTAAGACAGAATCTGTAGATTTCTCTTCAACGAGTACTTGAGATTCTGTAACAGCAACTTCTCCACCTATTTCGACAAGTAATTTAAAATTTGTATTATTAATTTGTTAGTGTAAAACGTTCTCTATGTAAAAAAAAGAGTATGTTAATATTTTAAACAAAGTATTTAATTGTTATTGACTCCTAAAAACCGAAATATTAATATAATAATAACAAGAGAATTTATAACAAAATAAACTCATATTATCAATGTAAGTTTATAGAAGAAGCTAAAGAATTTAATTGTTTCTATCTCACTGGACATAAGATATCATCATTCATTATTTCAGCTGTTAATTGTCTACTGCATGAAATATATAGACTTCCCCCTCCTACACACTGACATATTAAGCAATCTTAAGCCATTTTCATTTACTAATTCTCTGCTTCCTGTTATATATAATGTATACTTTATTGCAGTAAAACATACTGTAATCATAAAAATTAGAAATAATGTAAAGGAGAACTTATCTCTATATATATAAAGAGATCTCTTTCAGTTAATATAACACAGTGGCATAGAAAGTAGTGAGTAGGCAGCAGTAGTACAAAACAGACATTCAAACAATAATAAGTATTTACATAATTAACAAATCACGTAATATTACGTATACGAAAATACCTTCTGTACCAACAGCATCGCCTTCAACTACGGCATTTTCTGTCACAGCATCGCTATTTTCTTTGATTTCTCCATTAAATCTAGTTTCAATCACAGCGAATGCTTGTTCTGTGGCCACATCAGGTAAATTTTGCTTTGTGATATCTTGGATGACTTCTTCATTCTTGGGTGGGCCATATTCTCGTAAGAAATCGGAACTGGACGCCTCCGATTCTTGGAATATCACATCTTTTAGCGGATTCTCTTCAGTTCTCTGGTAAGCGAAATTATTATAATCAGTCAAAGATTAACGATCGCTTAGAAGTGACATGATTGCGGCAAGATTTTTTTATGATAGTATAATAATCTCGATCGCGCAATCGATATACACTGGCGGAGCATCAGTGAGGGAAGATAGATGAGGATGAAGTAAAGAGATGATTGATTGACAGAGTATACAATATTTGCAAGAGATAGTTGATAATATTACCTGTTGAATTTCAGATGGCAAGTAAAACGCTGGACCCTTAGGTCTCCATCCACTGGGCAGGTACGGCCCAGATCCTAACGCGGAGACTGAAGCTATAGCGAAGACAAGGACAGCGAATACCTAAAATAAATTTGTAATTTAAAATCCTTAATCATCGCATATTACTAATTTCATAATGTAATTTGGAGTCAATTTAATTATTATTTTTTAAAATATTTTAACAATTCCAAATTTTGCTCCGTATATAAAAAATAGCAAGATTAATGTTACAAATATGGGCATTAACAAACCCTATCGGTTTAGATAAGTATTATAAAAATCGATTCAGTATTGGCAAAGGTATCGTAAAATATATACACGCAAAACATTCAAGGGAAACGATAATCGTTTCGAAGTAATTTAAAGAATACAAAGCAATAGTTTCCGTCACTTGAACACACGATACATTTTATAATATAATTAAAACACTGCTGAAGTTCTTCGGAGACATTATGAATCCTCTAGCAGGTTTATAAGATTTCTGATACTTCATTTTTTATAAACTTTTTCCAACTAAAATTAAGAAAACACATTCAATTTATCGAACACTGACGATAATTTCACTTTCCAATTAACTATAATTATTTTAATTAACAATTTATTATTTATTACCTTCATTTTGAGACCGCTTGAGATCTTTGGAACAATGCTCGAAATTTAATGATGATGAATAACAAAATGATCTCGTTTTTATATTAACCACGAGATGTTTAAAAAAATACGTCGTCGGACATCAAGGCCTAGTTTACGCTAATATTTGATTAATACAAAATCGGATTGTGCAATTTTTAATGCGAATATATTGTTGGGTCGAAGGTGATCAATCTCTTCTCCTGTGTAGTTTATAATGGCGTTGCTTATAATCCTTCTACAATCTATCTATCTTCTGTTTTCTTTTTATAACATTGGGCGTAAATGATCATGCAGCTATGGTAAGAGACCTTTATCTTTTTTTTACCCTTGAAATACCACTTATCATCAGTTAAGCCGCATGCTCGTTTGGCCCGTGTGTAATAAAAAAAAAAGTTTTTCACGATAGACTACTTTATTTGTTCTCATTGTTGCTCTGCCAACATGAATCGATAGCGCAGATGGGGCTACATTATTATTGTTATTATAACAGCCTTTAACTGTCAACTGCTGAAGATAAACCTCCCCATAACGGGGCAGAGGATCAATAGTTGCCAAATTTAGCAAGCGGGTTTATGACCGCAGCTTTGATTATGTTTTACCCTTGACCCTTAAGTTCCCTTAGTCGTTTATTGTCATTTACCGGAAATGACGTACTCGTTAGGTTAAAAACGTGTAAGTTCTCAAGGTCCAAAGCGAGCACACTCAAATATTTGCCAATTTTACGGTACAAACAATTGACGATCAACATGGATTTGATTGGACGTTACGTAATAGCTAATGAGTTGTGCGAGAGCAAAGCGGCGTAAGTTAATATTAGGCATTTTGACTTTATTATGACACCAGTTATTTTTTAATGCAATTTAGAATGACGAAGAAGCTGACAGCTTACTTCATGGAAAGTGATAATTGTCGCCTAAAGACATGAACAGTACCAAGGACATAACAATATATAATTTGTCGCCTATGATACACCTCATGCGTTGCTATTCCTGAGGATCAAGGTGTTTTTTTTTAATGGGTGATAATGGAATGATAACCCCACCCGCGCTATCGGTATACACTGGCGGGGCACCAGTGAAGGATGATAGGTGAAGACGAAGCAGGTCAGTTACCCCATCGTGACGAATTCAATAAGCATTGTTCACGATGGTTTCCAGGGGGAATCACGTGGAGGTCGACCTAATAGGGTATATTGCTAACAATAGGGGTGTCAATCTCCATTCCTAACAATCCCTTTCCCCCCGGATTAAAGTGTTATGCCCCTGTACCCTGTAATTTCACTTCCATATCTTACCCTTCAAACTAAAACACAGGCATGCAAACACATCTGCTTCAGTCGGCCAAATCACGGACACTTTAATTTGAAGTCAGTTAAAAATTTACATTAAATTTTAAAAATAATATATTATTAAAAATATAAAAAAATGAGTTACGTCGTTTTTTCATTCTGGTTGTACTGGTGCGAACTATGAAGAATTATTTGTCTTTTTTTTTTAATGGACTCAGTCAATAATTTGAATTATATATTTACATAGTTTACTATCTCGTCTGGCATCAGTTGTTAAGGGAGTGGCGGCAAATTCGTACTTTGTACTCCAGCTTTTTACCGACTTCAAATAGAAGATTACAATTGAACGGTATTTTTATATTGATACCTTTAACTATTCTACCAACTTAGGCAAGGTAACAAAAGAATTTATTGACAGAATCGGTTCTATTAGCGTTCACATACGAAACAACAAGACAACACATATCGTAATCTCATTCTATCATTCATTCATTCATTCATTCATTAAGAGATTCATCATAGTGGAGTGTATTCATCATAGTAGGCTAACTGACCTGCCTTTTCATCCTGATCTGTCATCCTTCGTCGGCGTCCTGCCAGTGTATACCATTAGCGCAGGTGGGGTTACCATTCCATTATCATTGATTAAAAAAAACCTTTACGAAGAACCAGCTCCACTAGACAAAGTACAAGTAGGCGAATCTATTAATGGAATCATTTATTTTATTTTTTTTTTTTTAATGTATGATTATGGAATGGTAACCCCGCCTGCGCTATCGGTATACGCTGACGGGGCACCAGTGGAAGGTGATAAATGAGGATGAATTAGCTCATCGTGAAGAATTTCACGAGAATCAACCACGATGGTTTCCAGGGGGAACCGCGTGGAGGTCGACCTGGTGGGGTACATTGCTAGTAATGGAGCTGTTAGACCCCATTACTAACAATTCCTTTCCCCTCCCGCTCTATTAATGGAATCGTTATCGCTAGCGTGTCCATGAGATTGAATGAGTAAAATCTGTCACTGGTGCCCCGCTAGCATATACCTACCGCAAGTGGGGTTACCATTCCATTATCATCCATTATAACAAAAATCCTCAGTACTAAGAAGACGAGAGAAATGAACGAAAATAGTTAATCATCTATTTTCATTCATTTATTTTTTCAGCTATATTTTCAGCTATACATCATAACATTTATTTTTGTTATAAAATTTCATTAAAATCTGTCCAGCTGGATTAGGTTTGTTTTAGTTATCTAATATTCTTGCAAATTTGGAAAATAAAACACTTAGACATAAAGGTACAAGCATTTTATTCATAAAATTTTAATAGATAATAACTTCCTCTGGCTGTTAACAATTTTTTTTTATATATTTTATATTCTGCCACTTAATAACTATACAGATTTGTACTTGCGTGTGCCGTTTTGAGAAAAAATAAATACCTAAACGAGAGTATCACAAAACACATTGTAAAAAGTACCCTAACATCAGGCTAAGAAGGTTGACATTGAGTCAGTAACCACGCCCGTTGCCATGGTGACCGCCGCCATTACTGCGAACGTTGTTCGCGTTGGAGTCGTAGCCATTGGAGCGGCCATGAGCATCGGATTCGCTGTCTTCATACGAGATTTGAGGCTTGAAACCCCGCTCGTCCGCTTCATAGCTCACGGTCTGGGGAAGAAAAAGGAAACTATTAGGATTTTTACTAAAAATTAGGTAATTTGGAACTTTATATACAAAAGGAGACACGTAATTTGTATAAATGTCATTTTCGGTCTAGGCTATTTGACATATTATTTTTCTAAAGTGGCTAGTAATCAAGGTATCATTTGATAGTCTTTTAGTTCTAAGTTAAATCATTCTATTATGAAAGTGTTTCACAGACGAAATAGACATTCTTCTGAAAGAATGTGTCGAAAGACGACAAAAAATTTTTGAGTTTATGAAAATCAAAAAATGCGATTAACTGACAATTATTTTCCGACCATTTTTAATCGGAAAAAAATTAAAAGGTAGGTCGTATGATTTCAGCTTTATTATTTATATTTATTTATGTTTTATTCTATTACTTAAAACAAGACGAAATTCTTTGTATATCCAGAATAGAAAGCTTGTTAAAGCTAACTGAGTGACTTAGACCTTTTTTTTATATATTATCATGGGCTAGATTATTTTAATAATACTTCGACAGCATCATCTGTCCCCTACCTGCTTCCTGCCATCAGGTAATACAACATGGTACTCTCCCATAGCTCTCTCATCCTGCCTCTCCTCGTGATGACCAAAATCAGTACCTTCTTGATAATCATTCACCATATATCCAAAGTTGTAGTTCGCGGGTTCCTGTCATACAGAATTTAGTATAAGTACTATTAAATTCTTTTAAATTTAATGTATTTAATTCAAATTAAGTTAAAGGCAATAAATATATTAAGTACTTATACTTATTCTGTATTTTAAATTTATATTCTTATTGGAATAATTAGAATTTATGTTAATTTGATATTACTTATTTGCTACAATTATTCAAAGAGGAAGGGTGATAATGGGATAATAAAAGCGTCTTTTTTTGTAAATTCTTCTTTCCTATATGTAAGAAAAGAGGAAGGTTAAAAAAACACGACAACAGATAAGTAACAAGGCATTACTTTCATAAATAAGAAATATATAATAATATAAAGTCTGAAAATGGTTGATTTCGCCGTTATATTGTTTTAGTGTCTTATCGATTTTTATGCACCTAGCTATGGTATGTGAAATAACTGTATTAAGATTAAAAAAGAGAGATATTTTGTAACTAATACAATAGTTATTATTTCGCCGTGTGGTCCCAGCATAGAATAGGCCACTCCCTCTTTTCCCGCGGGTGTCTTAAGAGGCGACTAAGGGAGTTTATAGTCGAGGGATGGGCAACAGTATCTCTCTTAAAACATTATCAAAGCCAACCCGTCAAGCGTGACAACTACTGGCAGAACCCCAATAGAGAGAGGCATATGTTCAGCAGTGGATAGTTACAGGATGATATGATGATGATGATAATATTCAGTTTGTGAGGGATGTAAACTTACAGGGTTGGCATCGTCGAGTCCGTTTCTGCCGAATGGAGCCGCGTTACGATCGTAACCTTGGTCACTGTTGCCTGCGAACCTGCCCTGGCCGTGACCGTGTGGGCTACTCCTATAGACATATTTAATTTATTACTCAATTTAACTCATTTGACCACAATCTTATCTTGTCCACTAGACAAATGGCAACGAATTCATCGATGGAATCGTTATAGATTTCTTCAGGGTTGGCAACGCGCATATAATGCTCTGGTATTGCATGAACGCCTACAACTCCAGGGGTGTTAATCGTGCTTTACCGATCCTGAAGAAACCTCTTTATCCCTTTTTTGTAGAACCCCATGCTGTAGTCTCACAGAAAAACTACGACAGGGACAGGGACAGTTCATTCCATAACCTGAGCATTCGTGGAAGAAAATATCTCTAAAAGCGCGCTGTACTCAACCATCCAGGATCTAAGGTATGGAGGTGAACTCTCTGTCGATGGCAAACTGTACGATGGTAGAAAGTGGCCGAGGGCATTGTATTAAACAATTCCTCTGAGCACAGTCCGTTGTACAAACGGTAGAACACGAAGAGTGAGGCAAAATCTCTCCTAAGACTTAAAGGTACGATCCCGCTTGTAAGTCTGGGATCATTAAAAAATCTCATAGCTCGTCGCTGCACTGAATCGAAAGGTTCAAGTTGGTATCTAGGTATTCACGCCTATAAGTGACAGCAATACTCCATGTGGGGCCGGATTTTTAATTTATAAAGCATTAATCGTTGATCTGGCGTGAAGTATTACTTCGCTCTATTAAGCAAGCCGTGCTGTTTGGACGCTAACTTCACCTTATCATCGATGTAGCCATAGAACTGTACGTCACTAGAGGCTTTGACACCAAGATTCCCAATGCTTTTAGAGATACCTGAAATACTAATTTTTATTTCTATCTATCTTCCCGTGCGAAGCCGGGAATAGTTTACCATATACGAATGAAATCCTTTCCGACGCCTCGTTATTCGTTTGATCATGTCTCCTGAAGCCCTACCAGCGTACAACAACAGTGCAGGTGGGGTGGGGTTTTCACCATTCTAATCTACGTTGAATAAAACCTTAATTCGAATTTAGATTATATCTATATGTACTTACCTAGCGAAGCCATTGGCTTGGGCACCGTGATGAGCATGCGGGTTATGGCTATGTCCTTCTAGGGTCCTGGCGGACACCAACTGTGGTCCAGTGCCCTGGTATGGACCTCCATGGTTACCAGTAGACGGTGGTAGGTAACTGGAAACATAACATCATACGACTTCATATATAATGAACTACTGATTCGGCCCAACTTCGCACGGGTAAATAGAATTTAATAAAGAACCTATGCAATATACCTCGCTGACAGTGTAGCTTTCTATAGGCAAAAGAATTTTTTTAAAATCGGTTGAGTAAATTGTCCCAAAGAGGGTTGACGTGAGTCAGGTGGCAGGTCGTAAATTCAAATGCAAAAGCCAAATCTTTTTATAATATGGATAAAACCATATTACGCCGACCCCAAATAATAATTGAGATAAGAGTAGAAAGATGATGGTTGAGTAATTTTTGAACATATCCATTAGGCTACTATATATATAATATGCCACGGGCTGTATGTTTGTGTGCCATCTTTGTGGTATAGTCTCTAATGCAGCGTTTCTTAAACTTATGGCTCCAAGTACTATTAGGCATTTTACACCACGGTGAATCACTTTAAAAACTGATTATCGATAGAACAAATAAAGTACTTTATTAAAAAAAGGAGTACAAAAAAAAACAATAAATAAATATTATTTCTAATATTTAGTCAATTTAGTGTGATGAGTGTGCTTGTTTTTTAATGCAAATGCTATAGATTCTCTGAAATTTAGTTCAATTTTAATTCAGTTTCTACGTTCAGGCATTGCCTGTATTTCGTATGAACATGACCAGGCGTGAAAATCGTTTTTTACATAAACCATTATGTAAATTTTATCACGTACCCTAGTGGGTACCATTTGGGGTACACCAGTTTAACGCCTATTTTAACTGGTGTACCCCACGTGATACGCGTACCCTGCTTTGAGAAACTCAGCTGTATTGTAATTTCATTTAGAAAGATAGGTACTTCTTTTTATGCTGATATGAATGTCTACAAAAAAATGAAAAGGGTACCTTACCTAAGTGATGGCGAGGGTGGTGGCTCCGCTACTGTGATGGCGACGAGGAAAACGACACAAATTATAGTCTGAAACAATAAATATTCACAATAACGGTATAATATTTATTTATATATATACATAATCCGTCCCGGTTTCGCTTGGATTAATAGAAAGACAAATTAAAATCTTTATATTACCTTTAATAGGTAAACTTTTTATGTAATGTATTTAAATATTCGTATTTAAAGAATTTATTTCAAATTAAAGAAAAATCTGTTGCAAAAAACAATTTGGTTTGTAAATAACTGCATTACTAAAAACCATGTTGCAGCCGTTTGCTCCCATCTCCGCAAGAATATAATATATTGTACAAAAACAAACATATAGCTACGTAATATTAACTGTAAAACTAAATTATAATCTAGATGCAATAGTGTGTATAAATTATTACTCATTATTGCATATGTCTTAAATTAATTCCCCAATCCAAAATAGGTAGGTGTTTTTTCATCTATTTAAACTTCAAATTAAAATAATTTTATTAGTAATTATAAATAATTCCATTCTTTGTATTTTGTTAAAAAAAAAAGTATTATGCAATTACCCACACATCTACGCAGTAAACTGTGATGACATCATTTTCTGTACTCAATCCACGTGTACAACCATGTTTTTTTTTATACTTTAATGACATTTCGTAGTTTAGGCGGGAAATTGTAATCGATTACTTGTTTCCTGGACTTTATTTTTATTAATATACAAAAAATATAAAAAAAAAAAATATGAAAAAAAAAATACGATTTAAGAGAAAAAAGTCTATTTAAATAAAGATAAATTATTATTAGAAGTTCTTACTTCTGTGGAATTCTCGTGATAAATATTAGATACTTATAAAATTGTGTTACTGAAATATTTAATTACTGTATTGTTGATTAATGTAAAATTTTACAACTCTTATAATGTTAATACATTAAATAGTTCCAGAATTAATTACCTACAAAAATCAACAAATTAATTAACGTATGTTAATTAAGATTGTCTGCTAAAGATTGCTATAGCGATAAGACCGCCTTCTGTACCTTTATGTATATATTTTAATCTGTACTTTATGCTATTATATTTCACTTGAGTTATTTATATGTTATTGTATATTTTTATGTTTCTAGTCCAATGAGGAGTTAAATAAATAACTATGTTATGATAAAATTTTATGATCACTTAATTAATTTATTGAGTAATTAAACTGAACTAAAGTTTGATTTAAATATTAACTGTATATATAAGTTAACAGTAATTAATAAATACCTTCATTTTGTAATAGTTCCTTTGACGAATTTAGACTATTGAATGACACAATGTACCAATTTGGGCAACTTTTATAGTGAACGACACATGACTACAGCGAGGTAGGGGTTGAAAAATCACATCTCATTAGCGACATAAAGACCAGCTTTCAAGGTGCCATCGTGGGTTAGCACAGAGAAATACGTGGAGTATCTATATAAATGACTAGCTTTTTTCCCGCTACTTCGTATATGTGGATTTTAGAAGTAGGAAAATCAATGAAATAGACTATTTCTAGGTGACGTGTATTTACCAGAGGGAGACTTTGTACAAAAGTCGATTGCTTGGGTACCTCTGTCCCATTCGTGTTTCAACCGTGAAGCAGTTGTGTTTGCATGGCTGTGTTTCGGTTTGAAGGGTGGGATATGGCGTGAATTTACTGGGTACAGAGGAATAACACCTGAGTCCTCAGGAATGGCAACGCATGGGGGGTATCATGGGCGAAACAGTATACTCTGTTATGTCCATGGTACTGCTCATGTCTATAGGCGACGGTTACCACTTTCCATCAGGTGGGCCGTCAGCTTGTTTGCCATTCTAAGTTCTATAAAAAAAAAAAAAAAAAAAAAAAAAAAAAAAAAAAAAAAAAAAAAAAAAAAAAAATTCTGTTACTATTATTGATAATGCTTTATCACCGCCACCAGATTTTAAGTTAGACCTTCAGGAATACAACTGTGAAAACTGTATCTAATTTAGTGTAGTAGTTTTTGGGTAAATCCAGAATAAATCCAGCATACAGAAAATTCAATTGACACAATTTCTAAAAAATATAGTTTTAGCATCTATTGATCTTATTAAGATCTCTCATATTAATTTTTGTCGAATATCTCCCACATTTAGACATCGTCTAATTACAGTTTTATTATTTTTGTAAAATAAGAAGTGAGATAAATCGACAGTTAACCACCAATGTCTCCTAACTGACATTTATAAAGTAACTACTTTATAAATGTCAGTAATAAATGTGTAAATATTTTCTCTAACTTATTACTATCTCCTATTTTATATTAAAATAAATTAATTTACTTTTTCATTTCATCGTATTTGGAATGAATTTAAGAATTAGAATGCTTTCTGTGACACAGTTGTCTATATTAGTTAGAAGTTTTTGACATTTAACAGTTCAAATAGTAAATGCCGTTGCTATGTGACATGAATATATCGTAATTCAATTTCATATTTTCTGAGTCCAATCTGTTAATATTTGTAAATACAAATGTTATAAAAAAATTCAACTTTAATTCTAATAAAATTACTATTAATAGGTGATCAACATTTACATGTTTATTTCGGCCATATATACATCATCCTCTTCATATCAGCCACTATCTGTCCACTGCTGAACACAGGTCTCCATTATATACTGTTATAAGTGTCGCCCTACACTACGTTTGCCCGTATGGGGTTGAAACTCCATATATTCATAATATATACCATTTTTAATAAATAACAGTGATTAATAAAACATTTATATTGGATAAAATATCAATATATGGAAGAGAGATAAAATATACCGCCATAAACTTTTTTTTTAGTACGTTTGTTCCGTTGTGGAACAGGCTAAGGTCGGAGACCATGCTGCCTAGTCTTCAATATGGTAAATTGTCTCCCGCCATAAACATTAGTCTAGTTTCTTTTTCATAATAAAAAGTAGACTAAGACCAACAACTTAAACAGCTATGGTGATAGCATAATCTTGTCAAATATCGAACAAAATAGAAATTAGGAGTAAAGAAATTACATGCAAAATTGTAATTTGCTTGTATTTTCATTATAACTGCGGCGTCTCCGTAGCAGTCACTGTGCCCGCAAAATCTCACTCAAGGATGTGACGACTTGACGACACAGCGGCGTGACACACGGAGCTTCCTAATTCTGCGTCAGTATTAATACCCCAAGTAACCTTATTCTCAAGTTCTCCATTAGTTCATTACCAGTAGTTTTGTACCAATAGTTTATTTGTTATATTTATTTATTTAAACATTAATGCACCGTGAAATTCTGTGTAGGTACATTTTGTACGGTGTTCTCTACTAGTCAACTATTAAGCCGGGTTGGGGGGGGGGAGATTGTTAGTAATGAAATGAAGCAGGCTCATTACTAACAAGCCGACCTCTATGCGGTTCCCCCTGGAAGCCATTGTGGTTAATTTTATATGAATTCATCACGATAGGCCAGCTGACCTGCTTCATCTTCATCTTTCAACCCTCACTGGTGCCCCACCGGAGTAGACCAATAGAGCAGGCGGGGTCACCATTCCATTTTCATCTATTGAAAAAAAAAAACCACCACTTATATCACCTGAAATCCGGCTAGACTACGCACGAGTAGGTATCTATTTGGATAGGAAGTTAATATAGATTTTTACGATTATGCTAGCTATATCCAGCTGCTTTGCCTGCGTTAATTAGTATACAAAGTATCCTATGTACTAAGTTAGGATATAATCTACTTGTTTACCAAACTTCATTCAAATCCGTTCAGTAGTTTTTGTGTGAAAGAGTGACAAATATCCATCCATCCATCGTTACAAACTTTCGGGCTTATGTAATATTCCATTATCATCCAGAGGGAGACTTTGTACAAAAGTCGATTTTTTGGGTACCTCTGTCCCATTCGTGTTTCAACCGCGAAGCAGCTGTGTTTGCATGGCTGTGTTTCGGTTTGAAGGGTGGGTGGGATATGGCATGAATTTACTGGGTACAGAGGAATAACATCTGAGTCCTCAGGAATGGCAACGCATGGGGGGTATCATGGGCAAAACAATATACTCTGTTATGTCCATGGTACTGCTCGTATCTATAGGCGACGGTTACCACTTACCATCAGGTGGACCGTCCGCTTGTTTGCCATTCTAAGTGGTATAAAAAAAAATTAAAAAAAAAACCTCTTCCAGATGGGGTGTCAAGAGAAAATACACCAGAGTTTAGGTTAAACCTTCAGGAATACAACTGGTTTTCTACCATCCAAAACATTTCATTTAGTATGGTAGTTTTTGCTTAATACTGGAACAAGTTTAAAGACTGATAAAATTTCTAAGAAAAACAAAACACTGGCATTCTGGGAGTGCCGACAGAAGTGAAAACTCGAGCAAATACGTGTATATTTTTTTAATCGTCAGAAGTGTCGGTACGGTAACGGTAACAGTGTAGCGAGTTCAATGATTTTTTCCCATCTCAAAAAATGCCCTACGCGCCTAAAAAAGGTTGAAACGTTCCTTTGAAATTCAGTTATTGTTTTGGAATCTATCGGTCTCTATCTAAGAGAGAACGAGGTATAGGCAGCAATGTCCTACTTAAAACATTTCTAGAGCCTAACTGTAGTCGCCAATCTGTCAAAGGGAGGCTTATGTTCAACAATGGACAGTTAAAGCCTGATATGATGATGATGATCTATAGGACTCATTAATTTTTTTTTAATTTTTTTTAAATATCTACCATGTAGAGTCTAGTTATAATTTTATTATATTAGTATGTTGTAAAAGAAGTAATCGCAGAAACAAGCAGACAGGTATTGCGATTTTGTTTTATTAAAAATATATGGAACTATTATATCTAATGTGTTATAGATAGATAGATAGATAGATACTCTTTATTATTTCCTCCTCCTAGATTACAATAGTAAACTTATTATAAATACAAACAATTACAAGAAAATATTACACTGAGAAAATATTGGATAGCCTTATCGCTAAGAGTGATCTCTTCCAGGCAACTAGAGAAGCATCATTGAATAGAGAAGAGTAATTTAAACAGTTTGATTGGAGACACGAAACTCTGTTCGTTTTTTGAATACATTATGTTATATTCTTATAACTACCTATTTTCATTTTTAAATTTCATTTAGTATAGAAATCCCAAAAAACTTTTTACTTATTTCGTACATAAAGTTATTTCTGGTAATAAAAAAATACCAGAAATCTTACTTATCAGAATAATTAAAATAAATACGTAAATTAAATATTTAAAATATCTTTTTTTATTAGAAAAATATTTAATAATAAGTATGTAAGTGTTTATTTGTGTTGTAAGTAGCATTTACAGGTAATTTTTGTCTTTACAAAATGCAATGGAACTGGCTGAAAACCAGCGCTGTGCCACACTTGCATTTTTGCATGCTTTGCTGTACATATTGCACTTGGACACTCGCAGCATCAGCTGAGCCAGCTCCTTTTGCCTAATATAAGACAATTATATATAATATTACTGTATTTTCCGTTGTAACTCTCTGTTTTTCTAGCAATAAATATTTTCTATTCTATTCTATAATAAATTGCTAGTTCGGTAGATAAAATAATTTAAAAATGTTCAACCAAACAAAACTAAGATTGTTTTGTTTATAATATAATAATCATATATTATATAGATAGACTTTCTGTTAGCTAATTGTCAAATTATCTGACTAGTTTTTTATCAGTGTTCTATACACTTACGCATATAATGTACCTTGATGTATCTATAATTAATTATTTAATAAATAAAATTAAGTTTTAATTAATTAAAAAGATGCAAAAATTATAAAACAAAATAAATATAGACGTTATAAAGGAGTCATTCATAACTATTTATCACGCAAAATTGTATGAAAAAGTTGACCCGCTTTTCTCGAAGCATTTGTATAGAAATATTCTGAGATAAAGTACATAGAGTTTTTTTTTCACAATATTAATCTAAAAGGCTGTAATTAGATGTAAATATTATAAGTAGATGTATAGACGTTGTTATAAATATTTGACCAAGAAAATAAAAAAAAATAAAACAAGAAAAACGTTCACGCTCACTTTTTTACTTTATCCGAGCAGTAAGTGCTTCATATTATTCTCAATTTCGTGTATAATATAGTATATGTCATATATGTGTAAGTATATTTGTTATTCATATATATTTATTCATTTATATATGTAATTTTAGTATGTATGTATATCAATAATTAGTAGTACCGCATTCGAGTATTCTGACACTTCCCTATGGTTGAGTGGGAGAGAATGCATTAAGTCCGCCATGTACACATATTTGCAATAATGAATAAATAAATAAAATAAAATAGAAATATTATTTTTAACATAAGGAATTAAATTAACAAAAACAACATTTACCACAAATAAATATAGGTATATTTGCTCAAAAATATACAAAATATATCACAAGCAACTTAATATCTAAGAGGTACATTTTTTTATATTTTTTTTTATTCATTTGCTAGAAAAAATAAATAAATAAATGAGTATTAAGTTTAGCCATCGTTCCATATTCGTTCAAATTGGTCCACATGAGGAATCTTCTTAACAAAATGCCTTTGAGACATTTTATGTATTTTTTTTTTACATTTATTAAAAGCAATAGACTATTATTTATTATTTTTACTACTCTTTATGTTTTTCTAAATAATATATAAGTGTGTAGGAAAATAATAACATATAAAATTGCTATAAAGTATATCACAAATAAATACCTACTTATTTATCATGTAATTGTATCAAAACTGTATATGTGTTTTTAAAGTAATTATTAAATATTTTTCAAATACATATTACGATATAGAATTTTCTTTTTACAAATATACAATATATATATTTTATTTTGAAAAAAAATATTAATATAAAACCCGTTTTGACAATTATCTTATAAGTATGTCCATAATATAAATAAAATACCAAAGTACATAGCTTAATATAAATAAAACTATTTTTTTACAATATTTTTTACAACATACACCAAAAAAAAAAGTATTATAAAAAATATACATAAAGAAAAACACAATATATGTCGATTAATAATACCGAATTCGAACCAAGTCCATTGCTATACCATGCCGATCTGTTATTTTCCATCGGGTACTCAGTAATCATCATTAATACGGCCCATCACCAGACCTGGACAGGTCTGACGCGTTATCATCGTAGCCACCGCTGCCCGACGCGTCTGCTGGCTCCACTGAGATCCTGGGCTTGAAACCTCGCTCATCAGCTTCGTATTCCACCACCTAGTAGAGAGATGACTACAATTTAGCCTGACAAATGAATAATCGACCCGACCATAAGACACTTTGCTAATGCCCAATAGTATTTTTTTATACCGCAAAGGCGGTGAACAAGCATACAGCCTGTCTGACAGTAAACGCTTACTAGCCTATGGACGCCTGCGACACTAGGGGTGTCACGTGTGCGTTGTCGATTCTATGGTATAGTATGTAGTAACAATCAAATAGCGATTAAATGATTCAAATTTTCAATTTGTTACTAACTTCATTTAGAGATTGATTCTGTTATAATTTTAACAAAACTTGATTACACTTTTGCCGTGTGCTCCCGGCGTAGTTTGGGTCACTGCTTCTATTCCCATGGGTGTCGTAAGAGGCGACTAAGAGAATTCAATAGGCAGCAGCGTCTCTCTTAAAACAACACCAAAGCACTAAGCACCAAATTGTTAAGCTTTAGTAATGTTTTAAGAGAGATGCCCACGATGGAAAGATGGGTCGGTCTAATGGCCTAGCAAGTACTAGCAGAACCCCCCAATAGGGAGACATTTATTTTCATCTGTGGACAGTCAATGGCTGATATATTTTTTATAAAATTTTATTTAAACCCACTACATAAAGTGCAGAGGACTGGATAGATAAGGAAGTGCTGTTCATACGATCACCACTTTCCATCAGGTGGGTCGTCAACGTCTTACCAATCTAAATATAACCAATATAACATAGTAATGTTAATGTATTATATGTACATTTGTTATGTATTGTGTATTGCCTTAATGTGTTACTATAGTTGTCACATATTTTTCACCACATCTGCCCTTCATACGTTTTCTGTTTTTACCTAATGGTTAGCTGGTAGAGAATGCCATATGGCATTAAGCTCGCCATTTGTACAAAGTTTTATTGGGCTATAAAAAATAAATATAATATAAGAAATTAGTAATTAATAAATTATAATATTTAGCAAACGACTTCCTTGTTACACGGCATAAATTAGGATCTTTACCACGAAGTGCATACTAACGTGAAATCTGTCCATAGTTCCATATACCACAGCTGTAAAATTCTTACCTGTTTGGTGCCATCAGGTAAAACGACGAAGTAACTGCCCTCCGCTCGGTTCTCTTGCCTGCTTTCAGAGTGTCCAAAATCGCTTCCGCTTATGTAGTCATTAACTTTGTACCCGAAATCGTAATTGGCCGGTTCCTGTATAATATATTATAATAATAATGTACTCAAATAAATATATTTATTATTATAATTCGCTTTTTGAAAGGAGTTTTTTAATCGACTTTTTTTTAAACATTTAATGATTTCTACCCGACTTCAAAAAAGGAGATTATATGTTCCACTATATATATAATTTTTTTTGTATGCCCACCGATTTCTCCGCCAATTGTGGATCAATTTTAAAAATTCTTTCACCTATACACAATTACATTATCTGGGACTGACATAGGCTATATATACTCGCTGATAATGTAGATTTCTATAATAAAAAAAAATTAAAATTAAGTAGTTTTTGAAGTTCTATCTATATCTATTTTGAAGTTATATCTACTCGTATATTATATATATAAGTATCTATCTATCATGCGGAGCCGGACGGATCTCTAGTATTCGAAAAAAAGATATATAACAAGCTCATCGAGGTGACATTCATTATTATCACTAAGCATATTACATACATTTACGCGCAAATGATCAACACTTGCCATTTTATTTACTTTTATTTTGTTTATATAACGAAGCTGGCAAACAAGCATACAGCCCGTCTAATAGTAAACGGCCACCGTAGCCCATGGAAGCTGGCAACACTAGAGGTGTCACGTGTGCATTGCCGACCTTGAAGAAAATTTAATATACCCTTTCCAAAAAACCCCATACTGTAGTCTCTAAGGGAAACCGTGACGGGAGCTCATTTCATTGCCTGAGTTTTCACGGGAGAAAATTCCTTTGAAACCGTTTACTGTTGTAATCACTTAATTCCTATTAAATTATTTGAATATATGCTAAAATAAATGTCGTAAAAAATGAATGAAATAAATCTTATCCGGAACATTTTTTTTTAAGCGTACTTAATGTTTTCTTTTTTTTTTTTTGTAAACATATTTTTGCTTCAGAATGCGTGGGGATTTAAAAAATATTTCCAAATAATGACAGAGGACTTGTAGCGTACCTGATTGAGCAATTCGTCAATAGAGTTCCTTGCGTAATTGTACCCCTGGCTGGACAATGAATTGTATTGTTCAGGGACGCCATATTCTTCCGAAGGCATGACATCGCGGGCAGATGGCGCGCCATACTTAGTCGAAGGTGACGACCTGAAATGTGCAACGATGTTTTCACCAACTTAAAAAAAGGTGTTAATTTTAAACACATTTCTTTTCTTATTTTAGAGTTTTAAAAAGGTGATTCCTAAATTGATTGTATTTTTATTCAGTGACTAACTGTTTACCCGCTACTTCGTACGCTTGATTTTAGATGCAAAAAATCACTTATTGAAAGCGTGTTTAGTGCAATGGTTTTTACACGATACCAGAACAAACAGACAAAATACAGACATAAAATTTATAAAAAAATATTGCTTTGAATTTTATCTTTTTAATTTTTTTTTTTTTATGAAATATAAATATTTGCATGCCTACATTGCTAAAGGCAATTAAACAGGTGCCAAACTTAATACTACGTGCTCTTTGAAAATAATGTTAACTTTTTCATGTAAATAAACCCATTTCATTTCACATCAATCATATTAAAAAATTTGAAAATGAAATGCTTGCCCGCGTTATCGGTATACACGGGTACGCTACCCGTACCAATAAATGATAATAGGTGAACATGACATCATATCAATTGGTGCACAGTGACGAATTCACCGGAAATCATCAACTATTATTACAGTATTGCAATGATTTCCCATAGAACATATGGAGGTCGACCTGATAGGGTATATTGCTTGCAATAGGGTATTTAAAAAAAAAATATATTTGTAACTAACCTGGCAGATGCGTACGAAGAGGCGAAAGCGTTGGTGTTCAAATCTGTAGCCCTGCTTGATGGTGCTCCGTACTCCTGGGAAAGTCCTCTTGCACTAGGAGGAAGGTAGGAATCAGAAACACCACGCGCACCAGCGGAAGGAGCGCCATAAGATTGCGAAAGAGACCTAAAGCCTTGGGAATACGAGTTAGCATTCCTCGATTCAGGCACGCCATACTGAGTGGAAAGAGAACGAGAAGATGGGGCTCCGTAAGATTGCGACGGGGTACGAGCACTGCCGAAGGAAGAGAAGCTTCGAGAGACGTGGGAAGATTTAGAGGAAGATCTGGGAGCGCCGTAGCTTTGGGAGATGTCGTTGGCGCGAGCTGATGGGGCACCATATTGCTGAGAGGGAGTGGAGCGAAATTGAGAGTTGCGAGCGTTTGGAGCCCCATAGCTCTGAGATGGAGCACCAAAGCTTTGAGAACCGAAGCTTCTTTGTGATGGTACACCGTATTCTTCTGAGGGAGTGGACCGGAAGTCTGGAGCGCCGTACTGCTGAGATGGAGTTCTAGCAGAGAGACCTGGGGGGCCGTATTCTTGGGAGAGACCACTTCTTAAACTAGGTGCTGCTCCATGGGCGGAGGGGGCGCCATATTCTTGGGAGAGACCTCTGGCTGCGGGCGCTCCGTACTCTTGGGAAATTCCACTCCTTGCATTTGGCAGACCGTACTCTTGTGAAAGACCACTTCTAGCGTTAGGAGCCCCGTATTGTGTCGACGGAGCGTCACGGAAGCTGGGTGCTCCATATTCTTGGGAGATGGCGTTGCGGGACGATCCAAAGCTTCGTGCTGACGGTGCAGAATATCCTTGAGACAGTGACCGTTGTGATCCAAAACCATGGCCGTGATCGTGATGATGATCATGTCCAGATCGTGCCGCAGCGTAGCCATCGCTGGAAAATTGCATTGAAGCTATTAAATTATGTGTTATAGTTATATAATAGTTATATAAATAAGAAACTAAAGAATGGTTGTGGAACTTCTGGTAGTAGTGGTAGTCAATCTTCGAGTGTTGGCAGTCATACGTACTAATGGTAGCGAAATTAAACAAAATAATTCTCATCAAATAACCAGTGATGTGGATATCTGCAAGTTAACACCTAGTTCAGTAAAATATTATTTGTCCAACAGTAAGTAGCTTTTTCCATTAAATTTCCTATGGTCTATTTAATACGAAAGCGATAATGGTTCATACTATGATGTCCATGTGGTGCTGTTATTATATATAATATATATATGGTATTAACTAACTAATAGTTACCATTTTTATCTCGTGGAGCAACAAATTATTTAGCATTCTCGAATTCAGTTATATTGTTTATTCTACAATAATTATAATAAATATGAATTATAATAGATTAATTATACAAAAGGGGCCAAGAGATATGAGCTCCCTGCCAAGATTTTTCCAAGAGACTACAGCATGGGGTTCTTCTAAAAAGAGATGTAAATAAAGAGATTTTTTTCTGGAACGACAACGCGCGCGTAATGCCCCTAGTATTGCAGGTATTTATAGGCTACGGTAAGGGCTTACAATCAGGTGGGCCATATGCTTGCTTGACACCTCAGTGGTATAAAAAAAATATGGACAACAGAGGGACAATAAGGATTAAAGCACAGAGCGTCATATTTTTAAGTTCCTTTGTCCTACGAAAACAATTTATATTTAATTTAAAATAGATTTAAGCATCATTTTTGTCAAATAATGTGAATCTTGATGTTTATTTTTTATGTACACAATTACTTACTTTATATATATATATATATATATATATATATATATATATATATATATATATATATATTTTACTTACCCGACTGGTGGTTCGGCAAGGGCCAGGGATAAACAAAGCAATGTTATAAACACCTGAAAAATAAATTAATTAAAATTAATTAGTAAAGAAAATTTACGAACAAACTTTGTTTCCATTGAACGATGATGCAATAAGTTATAAAAAATAAGTACTAAAATATACATGAAAAAACAAATTACAAGATAAATTAAAATTAATGTAAAAAAAAATCTTTGCCACTGCTGATATTTTATCGTTGTCTTGTTTAAAAAAAAAACAGAGGAAAAGAAACTAGAAAAAAAAAACAGCATTACATGAATATGGCACTCGAGTGTGCCTCGAAAGTTCTTATTAATAAAGGTACAAAAAATCAATTTTAATTGAAACTTAAACTTAATTGAAATTTCAAGTAGATATTTATATAAACATATTATCTATCTATTATACTATAAACTAGCGACCCGCCCCGGCTTCGCACGGGTGCAATGCTGATACTAAATAGTAATGATAATGTAATATCTTCGAAATATTCATTTAAATTACATGCTGTAAATGGACAATGTACTTAATTGGATAAAAATTAAAGCTGTATTGCTTAAAATCACTTTGTAAATAAGTCATTTTTTCCCGTAAAATGTAAAGGATAAAAAATGGTTATTGTGAGATATCCTTAAGAGATAGACCTATATATATATATATATAGACTAACCTTCGCGAACTTTTTTGTTAACCTTTTTCACGTGTACAATACTGTAGTACATTATTTTGATTTATCTCGTAGGGTTCAGCTAGCATTTGCAATGTAAGCGCAAAAAAATGTATTTATTTACGACATCACATTTCTCTAAATTTATCAGTGTTCCTCTACAATATTATGTATGTATTATACATATAAACCTTCCTCTCGAATCACTCTATCTATTTAAAAAAAACCGCTTCAAAATCCGTTGCGTAGTTTTAAAGATTTAAGCATACATAGGGACGGACAGACAGCGACAGCGACTTTGTTTTATACTATGTAGTGATATTAGTTATTAAAACACTATAAACATTACGCCAAATTAATTAAATTTAATCCAAAAACATACCTTCATATTTTATGTTATTGGTACTGAGATCAAAGTTCTGGACGATCTGAAAAAAAAAAAAGATTTTTTTTCTATCGTCAATCTAATCTACAAATTAATTTTAAATATAGAAACAGAATATTCAAAGATACAATACATTTTTATGCATTTTCTTTATCTCAAAAGTTAACCAGGAAAGAATGCTACGAGTATAATGCTATAGTCTTTTGTTAAAAACAATTTTGTTAAATATGAATAATTAAAAATGGGAAACATACTATGCCAATGTATATGAGATATGAAATAATTGGAATTATAAGTTCAAGAATTATCAAATGTATAATTATACTAATGATTAACATATTAAAGTACAACCAAAACTATTTTTTTTTAATTCCATGGGAATTGATTATACCTAAGAGATATTAAGTGATCAATTAGTAAAATAGCTAATAAGAAAAAATATTTATGGACTAAAATTAAAAGTAGTATTCTAAAACTACAAATTTGCGCTACAAATAATTAAAAGAAGTAAAAAAATGCAATATAAAACAACAATTCAATGAGGCATTTATCTAATTATGTATTTAAATAGTAGCAAATAAAATAGTACGCTCATGTATATAATATTTTTCCGTCTTAATTTTAATATTAGGATTGATATTAACAATTCTTAAAAAAAAAATGGCATAAATAAGTTTCAATCTCTAATCTCGTAAGACAGACATAGTAAAAATTTGAAGAAGCCAATGATTTATACAGGTAGAACAGGATTCCTCCTTGTTTCTATAAAGGAGACTTACATTTAACAATATATATATATATTTTTATTATTAATTGTGAATCGATTATTAATCGATAGTTTGATTAAGACCACAAATAATGTAATAACTAAATATATAATTGATAATGTAATGTAATGAAATATTATTGACTATGATATTATCAATTATAATATAGTTTTGATTTAAATCGACTACAAATATCGTGTAATCGACTGTATCGATTATATTGATCAGTCAATCGATATTTAAATTAATCTAGATGAATATTACCGATTATATGATAATCGACGATTAGTGGGCAACATTAAAAAAATGGACGTTTAATGGCTGTACCAATAATGATAGTAGTAATATAATTTTACCAAATTTCCTCCTGTCAATCCCGCCTTGAAATACTTGGATGGTTATCCGATTGAGATGTAAACATTGAATGATACGGTTTCAAAGCTCTTCAACTATTTATACTAAACTAAGGAGTAAGTATAATACAAATCGTGGCGTAGTTACTTGTGAAGTTGTAAAACAAATTGGCCTTATATTCTAGATCTTATTCTATTGGCGTTAGGATTGAGAGTCCATTTTCGGAGATCCTAATGGTGTTAGTAACAGTCTCATTGTGTGGATACGCTTCGTACATGCGTGTGATGACATAGATTAAGATCTTTTTGATTGTTGTCAATCAGTGCATTCGATTTTGCGTGATTCGAAGTTCGACCTAGACTGTAGAACCTATGATAAAAGTTTTATAAAGGTTGACTAGCTCCAATTAAAAAAAAAATGAATATGTAAATTGGTCTCTTTTTCCACATTAAGCTTCTCAATTGGGGCATTGTGAGTATAAGTCGTGACTAGTACAGCCAGTCCAGCCCCGTCCAGAAACACAGAAGCTTCCTGGGACCTTCACAGGCCTCACGGAGCGACCTCACTGTTCTGAGTTCTAAACGTTGAGGGGCCACAGTTTCGCATTCCAGGATTATGTAAACGGCCGTTTCTTCGGTGTTAAAACAGTCTCGACATAGTGGGTTTTTTTTAATAGATGATAATGGTATGGTAACCCCGTCTGCGCTATCGGTATACACTGGCGGGGCACCAGTGAGGGATGACAGATGAAGATGAAAGTAGGTCAGTTAGCCCATCCTGACGAATTAAACTAGAATTAGTCACGATGGTTTCCCGGGGGAACCACGTGGAGGTCGACCTGACTGTTGCTAGTAATAGAGCTATTTGACCCCATTACTAACAACCCCTTTCCCCCCTAATGACGACATAGAGGGTTGTCTATGGCAAGAAAAATAGTATTTAAAGATCCTATCAAAGTACCTAACAGTGCCAAAACGGTAAAGGGTCTGTTAATAATGTGGTCTAGTAACTTTATAGGTAACAGTATGACGTGGGAAAAACTCTGGAAACCATCGTGTTTAATTCTTGATGAATTCACCACGATGGGCCTGACTTGACTTTATCCTCACATATCATCCTTCACTAATATCCCGCCATTGTTCACCGATAGCGTAAGCGAGGTAACCATTTCATTAAAATTTATTAAAAGTAAAACAGTACCAACACACAGCTCTGCACAGTTTGAAACTTTCAGAGCTGTTGTTATTATCACCTTTTCGTTTTTTTAATTTTCATCTCATATTTATATTATGAAAATAGCTTTTTGCCCTCTGCTTTGTACACTTGGATTTAAAAAAAGACCACTTCTGAAGGGCGTACTTAACGCCCACCAGATTTTAGGTTAGACCTTCATGAATACAACTGTGTAAATCGCATCCAATTTGATATAGTAGTTTTTACGTGATACTGGAACAGACATACAGATAGACAGACAGGGAAGATTTCTAAAAATGATTGTTTTGGCATCTATTGCTCTTACCAAGAGCACCACATGTTAATTTTTCTTAAATATATCCATGTATAGACATTGTTTAGTTACAATTTATATTTATTTATATTAGTAATTGGCCGTTTGGTCCCGGCATAGAATAAGCCACCCCTTCCTTTCCCGTAGGTGTCGTAAGAGGCGACTAAGGGAACTTAATAGTCAGAGGATAGGCAGCAGCGTTTCTCTTAAAACATCTCTAAAGATTAACTGCGGTTGCCAATCCTCCAAGCGTGGCAATTACTGGCAAAACCCCCCAAGGGGGAGGCTTATGTTCAACAGTGGACAGTTAAAGGCTGATGTGATGACGATGATGAATATATTATATATATATATATATATATATATATATATATATATATATATATATATATATATATATATATATATATATATATATATTGCATTGAAACTACTCAATGATATTTTGAGCCAGTATCCGCAATTGGATGTATTTGCCTCCAACTTGCTGGAGTTTCGTCGAGTGACCACAGAGTATTTGTGTTCAGACGTTTTTTGTTTGAGTTAAATCTTTTTATATTATTTTTGTGTAATATACCTTTTTATATGTTATTGTACTCATGCTTTCCTGTGTGAGCGTATTGGAAGACTGTAAGGCTCACCCAGTGGATGTAATAAATAAATAAATTAGTAAGATTAGATATCAAGTCCGTTAGTAGAAACCTTTGGCGATCAGATGGTTGGCCTATATTTATCTCCACGTATCTCCATAGGCTATCAGCCTGGTAAAACGATAAATCTCCTAGGTTCCATACCATTTGGCTGTGTCCTTTAAGAAATCTTTTACCTTTAATTAAAGTTTAAACTTTTTCTTTTCACTACCATATTTTTTTTTTATTTCACTAGTATAAATAATAAGATTTGTTTAATGCAACTTAGAATGGCAAACAAGCTGACGGTCTACCTGATGGAAAGTGGTAACCGTCGCCTATAGACATGAGCAGTACCATGGACATAACAAAGTATACTGTTTCGCCCATAATACCCCCCATGCGTTGCCATTCCTAAGGACTCAGGTGTTATTACTCCGTACCCAGTAAATTCACGCCATAACCCACCCTTCAAACCGAAACACAGCCACGCAAACGCAACTGCTTTACGGTTGAAACAAGAATGGGACAGAGGTACCCAAGCAATCTTTTGTACAAAGTCTCCCTCTGGTGGTAGTAGTCTGGTAGTGGTACGGGTAGATAGTATTTTCGAAAATTATATATACTCTAAGCTACTTACTGATAATATAGCTTTCGATAGGTGAAAGAATTTTTAAAATCTGTTGCGTAGTTTTTGAGTTTATCCATTACAAACATATCATCTATCTATCATGAAGAGGTACAAAAATAAAATAAAAAAAAGTACACAACATTATAATTGATACTTGACTATACTTGAATACTTGACTATGCCGACGTCTGTTTTTTGGATGTGACTGAGGAGCTTCTAAACAAGCTGGAACGTTTACAAAACCTAGCTATTAGGTTCATCTTTGGTCTTCGTAAATACGATCACGTGTCTGCCTTTCGCAACCAGTTAAAGTGGCTCCCTATCCGACTTCGACGTGATATGCACATCCTTTCTTTCCTTTATAACATACTCAATAACCCCAATTCTCCATCGTACCTCCGCTCCCGGTTTAAATTATTACCACCACCAGTCCGTCCTAAACGCTCCTGTCAACTGCAATCCAGGATGCTTGAACTTCCTGTTTGTAGGACACACTTTATGGGCAACTCTTTCTCGTATCGAGCTGTCCAGTTATGGAACAAACTCCCTTCCCACATACAAGAGAGTCCCTCTATTACCTCTTTCAAGAAGAGGTTGAAATCACATTTTCTTTCCCTTGAGTAATATTTTTTTTTTGTATTTTTCTAATTGAACTCTCAAATCTTAAAATCATTAAACGAAATTTCTAATGTAAGTAGTATATTAATTTATTTTAACATATACTATATAAGTAGGTAGGTATTGTATATATTTATAGTGTATGTATTTATGTAATATTTTATTATATATTTTAATATTTTATTTAACTGTATATTTGTTTACTTCAGCTGCCCACTAACGAAATGCTTTCTTACTGTACTGGGTTGACTGGAAGAGATCTCTGTCAGAGATAAGTCCACCCTTGCTCACAACATTTATAAATAGATTATTTTATATGTAACTTACAAGTGCAATAAAGAATATATATTATTTTAAAAACTAATTATATTACAGAACGCTCGTGGTACAACACAAATATGTTTACAAAAAAGTTACACTTCTTGCTTTTACTTATTTATTTAAATAATTTTATTGACCAAACAAAATATGGTACAGAAGGTGGACTCAATGCTAGTAGCTTTCTCCGCCACCTTTGGGATGTACAGTGAATCATGA